CCCCCCCCCCCCCCCCCCGCCCTATCCCTGCTGATACCCCTCACTCCTGGCCCTGCCTATGCCCTGTGCTCCCGTCCCACAGTCCCCCACCCCCCCAGAGACCTGCTCCTGCCCCTTAGTCCCAACCACAGTACCCTACCCCTGAGACCATGCTGGTGCCCCTCACTCCTGACCTGCAGCCGCCTGCCCCCCCTAGCCCTGCTGTACACGCAGTTCCCTGCTACCCCTGAAGAACCCCCTTCCCCACCCCTCCCCCCCACTGGAGGGGCAGGCATCTTCCTTGCCTCTCCACTGTGCTGCAGCCCTGGTGCCCAGATAGATTTCGCCAGCAGGCACCTGCCCCCCTCAAATACCCCATACGCACACAGTCCCCAAGCCCTGGCCCTCCAACCCCCGCCCCCCACAGACTTACCCGCCTTCAGCTGCCAGTGTACGCACACAGATGCACATGATGCCCTTGCCTCCAATTGCCCTCCCCCGCTCCCTCAACCCCACCAGCTCCTTCCTAAGGCAAGCTGGGAAGTGCCGGGAAAAACTGCATTGCTGAGCAGAACACAATCCCAGACAGTTGCTGATATTTAAAAAAAAAAGTGCAGATGGAGATGGGAGGACCCAAAAAGAGGACATGTCTGGGAAAACCCAGACGTTTGGTAACCCTAATGGTGAGAGACTGTGAATGAATCTCATCCGGCGTAGTCTTGGCCAACCATTTTAACGTTGAGAGGTACCTTTTAGTCAAGGTGCTGTTGATGTCACCGGACTTGTTTGTTCTCATCCAAATCACATTTTAACTCATCTAAGCCTCGTTCTTTGTATATTGATATCACAGTAGTGTGTAGTTCTTCCCCTGTGACAGGAAGCTCTGCCACCAGGACACTGAAGGAATGATGAAACTTGACATCCTAAGTAACAAACAGGGCCTATGCTTCAAGGGATTAACAGATGAATTGAAGAGTGGTTATGGAAGTCTTCCTGGCTTCTTGCCAGATGCTAAACATAGGACCAAAACACTACTTCGGCTAGAGAAACCTTTGGCTGCTGGTGCTACAAATGATATTACAAGGTTTATAAAAAGATTTATACTACAGTGGTCTTTGATATAGGGTCCATTTATTATCTGGTGCTTCTTGACAAAGATTTGTTATTTGACCTGTTACTTAACATGCTGAATACCTTTTGTCACTTCAGACAAAGTTAAGTTAATCTAAGGCTTCTCCATGTG